ATACTCTCAGGTCGAATAGAAGGAAAGAGAGACAAGGGAAAACAACGCATGATATAGCTGGCGGGCTTAAGCAAGTGGATGGCAGAAAGTGGTCTGAGGGAGGTGGCAGAAAGACAAAAATTAATAAGTGCTACAATGGATAGTGGGAAGTGGAGAGCCACGATCGTCTACGTCCTGAAAGGACACGGCACATAAAAACAAAGATTAATCCTTAGACTATGCAATAAGTATTAAATGATAGTTTTAAATAATCTATTTTCAAAAGTTTTCTACGAATAACTGTCTGAAGTCTTGTAAATGGCATTTCTCTTTCAATTATTAACTGGGGTTTCCATTCTAACCTTTTGTTGAAGTTGTCGGCAAGATCACTATCTTGATCATTTTATTATTTTCTCATTGAGTTATATGTGATATCTATTTTACTTGTCGCTATTTTTGAATATAATTAAATGTTTGCGATTATGTAGCGCCATTTCACTAGGGTCGAAGAATTATAGTCCTCGCTAAGATCACCAGGCCTTATTCGGTCGAAGGTATATTTAATCATTGATCTGAGAAAGAAGTTGTGTACACTTGACGTCTATTTCTGTAAGGTTTTGCCACCAATCCTGAGATCCACATGAAATCTCGATCTGATCAGGTTATTTTAAATAATTTCACTCCAAGCAATTCGACAATTCCACAATGACGTAGGGGATTACAGGTCGTGAACAAGAATGGGAAGTCTTTAGTAAGAAAAAGGGAAGAAAAAAAACTATAAATGAACAGAATTCTAGAATAAAGAATATTGTGATTGAAATTACATTTAAATGTCTGAAGATTTTTTTTTATAAAGGAAGCAAGAAAACGGAAGGGATTTCTACTGGAGAGAAGTGAGATAAAATAAAATATTAGAATAAAACATGAAGTTGCATCTAGCTTGTTCTGCAGTAAAATGGTGAAACCTCGTTAACAATCTAGGAGCACCTTTACATTCGTTCAGTCGAGGAATTAAAAACAGGTTATCTGAAATTTGCCATGAAAATATTTGTAAAAAAAAAAAAGACGGGGGAAACCACGTCACGTCAGTGAGAAAGTGACTGAAGTCGAGATGCCAGGTCAGAATCGATTATATTACATACCCTTCTTTCTATGTACTCAAAAATCACGTGATATACAGCAAGAGCACAAGACGATATATAGCTGCAGTGTTCATTGCAGAGGGAGAATTTTAGATTTATAAATATGAAAGAAAGATTCTGATGGCAATGTTTTTTGTTGTTGTTTTTTTTTTTTGTGAGCAGAGTAAGACTACTTTCCCAGCAGCAGACTTAGAAATTTATTCAATATAATCAATCCATTTCATGTCAGTGGAAAGTGTGAGCCTGATAAAGCCAAAACTTTTGCTTTCCTGGACTTTAGCATCAATCATGCTTATGGCAGGCAGAAAATATTATCTGCTGTGATTAAATGAAAACATTTTTGATTCGTTAAAATTTACAAGTTATTTCTTGCCCCCAGTTAACCATTTATTGGAAGTCTGTCTCGATATCAGTTGCCATTTTTACTTTGTCGGATCTGTCGGAATTGCTTCTAAGATAGGAGCGAATGGTTGTCATCTGCCTAGGTAAGTTATTGTTAAGTTATTGGAAGTTATTGCATCGGGGATATCGTTAATGAAGGTAACAGCGTAAGTCATTTGATCACAGGGGGGGCATTTGTATTAATATGAAATAAACCAGTAGCCTGTACATTCAACACAACCTTCATCACACGATTTGAATTAAGCCAAATATTTGTCCAGAGACATGGTAGCCCTTGGGCTTGCGGTATACCAAACACTGTCGAACACCTTAGGGACTACTAGGGCTGCTGTCTAAGTTTCACCGTTTTTTTAAGTTAATGATTTTTTTTTGAAAAACTTGCGGTGTTGTGCGAAACTACATATGGCGTATCCTACTTCATGTTTAATTTCCTTATCAACTATATTAGATTTGTTATAATTGATACAAAAATAAGCTCGCAGACGTGCCGTTGCTTCCCTCTGTCTTTTCTACAAGTATTTTCACGGCTACTGCCCTGATGAGCTACTTTCGCTGGTTCGCAAATTACATGAATTTAAGCGTACTACTATATTGGCATCCCGCTCCCACCCTTTCCCTGGCGTAACAGTTAAACATAGCCGTCTCTTCTGTTTCAACTCCTTCCTCTTACTTGCTTCTCTGTTAACTATAATCTTTAAATATTTAAATGTAATGTCAATCAACACCATCTGACGCATTGATTTTGTTTCCCGTCCTTTTTATCCTTTCTTCAAACACGCCTCTTTACTCTTGCTCTCACTCTCTGTAACCCCTTGCGTGCTAGTGGCACTCCCGCCTTGCTTGGGGCGAAATTCTTAAAAAAAAAATGGAGCCGTTTCGTATTTCCTATTTCCACGAAGAACTGTAGCCAGTGACATAAAAATAGAAACCTCCTTTGGAATAGTGCTTTCATAATATTGAATTAATCTGCCCAGAATTCTTATTATTTATCCTATATGTTATAGCTTTGCGTTTTAAAGAGAAGAGACGAAATAATTTTACTTTCTGGGGAAAAATCCTCTCTGGGCATCATTTGGGCTGACTACTATTTTTTATTAAATATTCATGGAATATCCTCCTATCTCGGCACGGTGGAGTAATGGATAGCGGTTCGGATTGAAGAATCGGAGAGCCGAGTTCAAATTCCTGTCCAATCCATTACATTCATTTCTGTGCTAATACACTTGGAAAAGGTATGGATCTTCTTCTTCTTCTCTCCCTACCAGCTATGGGTAAATAACAGAACAGATCGGGTTCTATAGCCTTGGAGGCAACTGGTCTACTGCAGAAAAAAAAATAACAACCTACCGCGGGGAAGGGGAAAAATCTGCCTCGTCAGTCATGTATCGAAAGATATATGATCGCCTCAGCGTGTATGGCACGTAACTGATTGATCTCAGTTGTAGTCATTTTATATTTAATAACAGGTCAAAATGGTTAAAATAAGGATATGTGGAGAGATGATTCTTTTTTTTCAAAAAAAAATAATGATAGTCACAGCTGGTTTATTTGAAACAAAAATTATAATAACGCACCTGTAAGTAAATTTCAGATTGCTCTTTTACCTATATCTTTATATTTATATATTAATTATTCTGACAATCCTTTAAATATAAGTTCCACCGGATCATGCCTATTTAAAAGGAATGAAAAGAAACGAACTCTTTATTCAAGGTTTTTATTTATTTAAGCTCAATGGTCTCTTCATTTCTATTCGTCCAGTTTCAATTAAGAACGCAGCCTTGACGTTTATCACTCAAAGAATGTATTATTCGCTTCGTGTCTCCAGCCGCGTTTATTATCAGCAGTAATTCACAGGAGAGTGACAGGTAACTTTCACTTCGTTCAACAAGCTTTCATTCTCTGTCGTTCGATGACATCTTTCCCAGATGCTTGCGGCTTGAAATTGTTTACCTTCCAGCCGGTTTTCCAGAAGCAACAGAAAAGCCGTGCGTTATCACCTCACTCACTAAGAAATCGTTGGTAGAAAACTGCTCACGGCCGATAAATCGATTCTACTCGGCAAAATGAGCCAGAGTTAGAAAGAGCCTTGCCGATAAACTGATTAGGATAATCGAATAAGTGAAGTGATAGGCGATATCGATTGAGGAAAGGAAAGTGGAAATCGATCTTGCAATGTCTGATAGCCGAAGCCGATTTGAAAATTAACCCAGAAACTAGCATCAATTAGGAAGATTGTAAGTTAAATTTGATTAGAATGATCGGGCGAGTAATGGAAGCGCCGAGAGAAAGTATCTGCTCTTCCAATCATTTGATTCGTTAGGTCAAAAAATGTTCTTATTATCTGAATATGCGGTGACACTTGCACGTAAACATGTATAGGTGGGTGGAAACATAAACTTATAAGATTCAATGCACTCAAAGACATATATATACACTCACAATGTTATATATATACACTCACAATGTTATATATATATATATATATATATATATATATATATATATATATATATATATAATGGGATGACTGGGTAAAGAATGGTGTAATACTGAAGAAATGTAACAACACCGCGGACACTGAAGCCATTCTAGCCAAGATACAACTCAGGTGGGCTGGTCATGTTGTGAGAATGGATGAGCATAGTATTCCAGAGAAGGTGCCGCATAGACAACTACAAAACTCCAAGGGTTCAGTTAGACATCCACGCTACAAAGACAAAGTAAAGACAACTTGAAACGTCTGAACTTTAATCTGAAAACCGGGAAGCCCAATCATCAGACCTAAAGAAGCGGCGTACTGTTTAATTAATTTAAAGAGTTTGAAGACAGTAGACTGAAGCACCGTGATCATTTTCGTCAAGCTTTGAAGCAGAGACACCATCAAAATCCAGCTTTAATAAATTTCATCTGTCAGTGTGGCTTTGTCGCCCGCAGTAAGGCTGGGCTAGTATAACTCTTAAGAAAGCACAAATGAAATATGTCTTCCCCTGACTTCATTTTTCTCACAATAGAACATATAAGTTCAAAACAAAGGCACCATCCGTTGCTGACTCACATTTATCGTTCCCGATAGGAGACTATATACTATCTATCTATCTATGTATCTATATATATATATATATATATATATATATATATATATATATATATATATAAGTGTACTTGGTTTATAATTACAGGATCTTATGGGTAACTGTTGCCATTTCAATTTTTATTTTCGTGCATGTTCGTTGTTTATTTTTTATTTTGTCGATTGTAAAGTATAGTAGGGTCAGTTGGGCACCGGCTGTGAGAAAAAGCCCACCACGACGCAATTCACTCCGACAGAAATTTTTAAATGGCTTGCTGTACTGTTTGGCATTCGCGCTGGAAGCTCCAATACGAACATCAGCATCAACTTCCAACTGTTCTTTCAGTTTACGACAGTCATCCTTTCAGCCATGATAAAAATAGACGAAAAGGCTTGAAGCACTTCTAAACAAATGTGAACCACGGAGCTGTACGTCTTCCCACGATGACACCAGTTAGCACACTGATGCCTGGGGGTCGCCTCAAATGGCATCTAGCTGTGGAAGCCTGAACTACAACGGGCTTGTCACACAGAAAACGATTCCCGTTACTTTTGGGCCCCCCACTTGTGTATAGCGTGTGAGTGAAAATATGACACACTGAGAGAAAAGTAATATTTTCAATGCATACAGGTATGCGAATACCCATATATAGGTGGAGTTTGAGAGACGGGGTATATTTGATGCTAAAAATCGATAGATAGATAGATAGATAGATATATAGATAGATAGATAGATAGATAGTTTTGAGAACCTGGAAATAAGTAATATAATGTACATTTATACTCACTGTCCACTTGATGAAGCACGTTTGAACAAATGCTTTTTCAACCAAATTTATAATCAGCATTGACTTAGCAGCATTTTAATGGATATAGATATTTAAACGTGGTCAAGGCGACTTATTGAATTTCATTTCATGAATTATTAGAGGAAATAGATGTAATTTAAGTGAAGCAACTTGATCGTTTTTGCGAGACGGGCGGTCATGTGTATTTCAAAAACTCCTGATTTACTAGGAGCTTCAAGCAAATCCATTAGTAGAGTTTAAATAAAATGGTAAGAAAAAATTCCCTTGAGCGACAATTCTGCAGGTTGAAACACCTTGTTGATGAAAGAGATCGGGGCTTTAGTCGCTCAGAAAAACATTACATCGTCTCTAAACTCACAATATATGGAAGCTTGAAGCAGGAATCCACACCAGGTGATACTGTTGTCAAATTCGAAGCAACTCATGTTGCAATTCGGTAAGCACCACAAAAATATTGTATAATGTAAGATGTCCGTCCTGGGTATGACGATAAACTGCATCCGCGTCCTGGGTATGACGATAAACTGCGTCTGCGTCCTGGGTAAGTCGATAAACTACATCAAACAGCAAGGCCTCTGATCAGGAGGTTTTGAGGAGCGTGGGTGGTAACACTTGTTAGGGTCCTAGCTATGGCCAAATAGTTAACCCCGAAACTAATTTAAAAAGCATTATAAAAGTGTAAAAATAGGTTTTAATACCAGAAAATATTATTACCAGCAATATATTTTTTGAAAAAAAAAACAAACTATTACCAGAAATATATTTTTGAAAAAAATATTACCAGCAATACATGTTTTAAAATAATATTACCAGCTATACATTTTTAAAAGGAAAAAATATTACCAGAAATAGATTTTTGACAAAACAAAATATTACCGGAAAAAAAGTTGCGGGCATTAAATAACCCATTGAGGTTGATATGCCCTAAAACCCAACAAAACTAAACCCAAGTCCTTGGCTGTTGCGATGTGGCTTGATTTCTGATTCGGATTAGAGGAACAAACTTTGCTTTAAGCAATATGAAGGTATAGAACAATTCTGCCTTGTATCAGTATTTCAGGTTGTTGTTGGTGGTGTAATGGTATGTATGGTATTTTCATGACAAACATTGGTAAACTTGGTATCGATAAAAGATAATTTAAATGTTTAGCCAATCGAGGTATTTTTATTTATAGCTATAGTACACCCATCTTCTGATGACCTCGTGTCTCAAATGAAAAAAATAATGTCAGTCCGGATCTGAGTCTAAAGCAATGGGTTTCGGGTGTTAAATTGGCCTTCACATTTATCGGGCCTCAGTCCTTTTGGGATGAAGTGGGCAGGTATATTGAAATTCATGGATGCGCAGCTAACAATTCTAGAAGAATTAAGGGATAGCATAATAACAGCACGGGCCCAAATTTTGTGAGAGCTTTCATAACATTGTCGGATCCATTCCAATGATTCCGTCTACCTAATTTATATGATAATGCTTTGGTCAACCCATGTTATGGCTTCAAAACATCTCCAAACTGATAATGTAAAGAAAACGATGATAACACAAAGATGATCATTATAGGTGCAGTTACGCTCAAAGTATTCTTTGATCTATCCAGGAATTTTACACACATGTTTTTGTTATCATATCCAATGCTTTTTTAACAACAGGGATAATTGCAATTTTATGCCATCCCAATTTTTTTTATTTCGATTTCTAGGCCTTTTTAATTTCATAATTTTTTAAATACTTTTGTAGAAACATTGGAATCTTGTGGCAAAGCCATTTCAGTCAGTTGGCAGCTACCTTTTTTTGAAGTCTTTTATGACGATGTCTAGTGCGTTCACATCAATTTTCATCTCTTTGAGGATTGGAAACTCCTAGAGTATAGTCACTTCCTCACTATTTGTGACATCATTCGGGTTGTATTTGTGACATATATCCGATAATGCAATAATATTGTTCGAACAGACATATCAATGAATATATTTCCCGAGATTATAATGTCTAATAATGTAATCTTATCAAGTATTGGATATTCTGATACTATGAGGTCAAAAGTTTCATCAAATTTGTGCCATAAGCGACAGGCGGGAAATGAACCATCCACGTTGATTTTAATATTCAGACATTAGTTAGATTGTCTCATTCCTTCATTTCTACGGCTTATATACACGTTTCAGGTTATTTAAAGTCAGGGAATATTTTATGTTACTAATTAACCCATAGCGAGGAGAAAGAAGTGGATTAATATGTTTCCCAATGGTATTTACTCGTAACAGAATATAACGAACCCAATGGGTATTAGAACTCGGGTTTCCGATTAACAATTCCGAGTCATTATCCGTTACACCACCTGCGCATTATCGCTTACATTGATATTCCGAAGCTGTCACTCGCTTATGAACTGGCCAGTACTAACCATGCTTAACATCGGTGTTTGTACGGAAACCGATGTTTCAATGCGATGTAGCCTTAAGCCATACATTAGTTGGAAGACATTGATCTTGTGTTGCCATAATAAGGCCTTCCCTCTTCCCCTTAAGGCCATTTCTACGAATCCATTTATGGGATTAGTGGACAGCAATGCCTGGTTCATCTCAACGCTTTGGAAACTTTCCGAACAAGGCCTTAAATTTTAATTTTTGTTTAGTTTTATTATTATTATTATTATTATTATTAGTAGTAGTAGTAGTAGTAGTAGTAGTAGTATTAGCAGTAGTAGTAGTAGTATTAGATTTTTATGCGGACATTCAGTGGAGTTGAGCCTATCATAAGAATGTCATTTATTTATTTGTATACAGCCTTCCTTAATATATGAGCAGCGCCGACGAACACTTCTGGATTTCTTGATATTGGCACGAATTTTCCATCACCTGCCCAAACAGTAAACTCCAATTACCACTGTTATAAACGGGCTTTCAGGCCCCTTCATCTTCTTCTTTTTCTATTTGAAGTATCCTTTAAGGAAGTTGACGATCATGGCTCTCCACAATTTCTTGTCTTTTGTAACTCTTAAAAACTGTTGTTTATTTGCCATTACTCCCCTACCCTGATCCGGCATCCATTCACTTCAGCTCGACAAGTCGGTTGTGCGTTTCTTTCTTCTCTCCATCGTTCTTTCAATCTGACTGAGAGTATCAAATTTTACAACTTCTTCTTTATGTGACCCAGAAATCTCTTACCCCACTTTTCATTAATTTATTTTTCTAGACCTTTCTATTTAGAGGGCTTTCTATAGCGTTCAGCGGGTTCTTTCTTCTGGTGACGGAAGATATATCAATGAGCAGACACGTTCTTTTTTTTCTTTTTTTCTTTTTTTGTGACCCTACCCTACTATAACTATTGTTGTTTTTTTTGTTTTTTTTATCAGTTTCGATTGGCATATCCCAGAGAATAGTAGCTTCATCGTTTTCTTTTACAATTGATGTGTTATATTCATCGCACACACAAGTTACATTGATAATGCCCTTCGTAAGGCGCGAACTGTACTTGCGAGAACAACTATTTTGTATTTCTTTAAGGAATGGGCTACCAGAGATGCCTTCAATGATTCAATCCGAAACGTTTTTTTGAATGTGGAGGCTTACATTTATTAATTTTGTTTTTTTATTTCTTCTGAAAGAAACTCTAGGAGGAATGGTAAACATCTCTTTAAAACGAGGATATTTTTTGTGCAATGTGTTCATAGTCGTCGTCGTGTAGTATATCCGAAATTCCCGCAAAATTTCCGTGCCAATTGATGCCTAATGGAATTCTGTCAGAATTTTTATTGTGTTTTTCGGTGTTTTGACCTGTTATAATATTATGGTAATCTTCACTTACAGCTATTTTCATTCACAATTTGTTTCAGACGAGATTCATGATAACCGCTCATTACATATTAAAATAATGGGAAACAAAAATGAAATGATTCGGTCATTAGATGATTCCTTGAGAACTTTAGTGTTTAAAATTTTATCACTCGCTTTGGAGAAATGAAATGTAAATTTATTTTTATTTTTTATTGTGTTTTTCGGTGTTTTTATCCGGTACAAAATTATGGTAATCTTAATTTTTAGCTATTTCATTCGCAATTTGTTTTCAGAAAAGCTTTCAGATCACAGCGCGGCCATGAACCAGAACGATTTTATTAATGACATTTTCTTCATGTGTGAAAGTTCGAAGAAAAGTTTGCTAAAATTTTTACAATTTGGTGACGCTTTTGCACGAATGAATAATTTTCAATCTCAAATGAAATTTGCAACTAGTTTCTCCAAAGCTATTGAGGGATTTATTATTATTATAATTATTATTATTATTATTATTATTTTTATTATTGTTGTTGTTGTTGTTGTTTTGTTGCAGTTGCTGCTGTTTCTGTTATTATTATTATTATCATCATTATTATTATTATTATTATTATTATTATCTTTTATCTGAATATCAATACTATAAATGGCTTTATTAGGAGGAGGTTCGTGAATATATCAAAGCTTAAGTAATCGATTGTTTTAAAACAGACGCTTTTGTTTTCAATAAATTTCTATTTAGTAAGACACTTCCCAAAACGTTTTAAACATAAAATCAGTTTTAATGACATGTTTACGCGGACATCTCTTTTTCCTTCTCTCTCCATATGTGTATATCTTCGTGTGTGTGAGAGAGAGAGAAAGAGAGAAATTACGTGTGTGTCTTTTTCGTATAAGTTCTTTTAATCACCGACTCTGTTACATATGTATATAAGTGTCTATTGCATAAAGTATATAAAAGTAAAGGTATAATTTCAGTAATCATGTATTAGATTATTCAGCTTAGAAGAATTTCACAACATCGTTAAACAATATTTGATTTATAATTTGTTCGGAGGAGAAGTGATATAATTTTGAATCTCGATCAATATGTTCTAGTAAATTGAAATCCTTATGCTATTTGTAAATAGATTCAAAAACTTGTAAATTGATATAAGGTTATAATTATATTGATACAAATGTGAATATAATTAATCCTAGTGAAATAATAATAAAATCTATACACATATATTTACAGTAAACGTGAAAATTTATTTTTTTAAATTTTTTGTTCATTCATAATACTTAGATTAATGATTGAGTAACCTGAAGGTGTGCTCCACGATTATAAAATACCCACGGAAATACCATTATTGCCTCTTTAAATAAATTTTTTCAATAAATATTGGAATAATAATCTTAACGTTCGACTGTTGGTCAATACTGACAAGCGTATAAAAGTAATTGAAAATATTCAAAACTGATAAGGTTTTTCATTTCATTAAACCAAACAGGAAACGCAGAAGCGCACTATGGTTTCCGCTACCTTATCTACTCTTATTTATTTATATATTACTATAAATTAGGCATTATTTTTATAGTAACACCAACTAGCACCTTTTCCTTCTGTTTTTCCTTGCGTTCAAAGCAGAACTGTCTATTATTTATCCCAGCCAATGGCAGTGCGTAATGTGCATGCCAAATAACAAACTTATGTGTCTTGCAGAATTATAATATGAAGCACGGTATAGGAAGTATAAAAAGACAAAAGCAATCTATATTTCTGAGCTGAGCTATTGTATCTATTTAAAGCATTTGAAATGTTTGTACTGTTGTCGTCATTATCAAAATCGCTCGAATATGCAGAACATTTGAACAGTTTACTCAATTTTGGTCCAGAAAAGAAAACGTACGAACACCAGGACAATACAATGAAAGCTTAGTCGCGGCACCGTGTCAGTCGTCTTTAACGAAACATGCATAAAGAGGGTTTGCTGCTCAAATGTACAACACACACACACACACACACACACACACACACACATACACATATATATATATATATATATATATATATATATATATATATTTTCAAATCGGGTAGAAACAAATTATTATTTAGAATTACTTATCTATTTTTACATTTTTGTTTCAGCCTTCTTGGTTCTAAATAAAATAAGTATATTGAATCGATCGATTTACTAATTGATTCATTTATTCATTCGTTTTCTACTTCTTATCAGCCATTTGCAGATTATTTAAATCCAGAAAATATTTTTAGATTTTAAGCTTTTTTTTTTAGATAATTTTTTTTACGTTTAAATGTCTCAATAATTAACCTATATCTGGGGGTAAAGAGGTGGATTCACACCTTCCCCAAAGTTATTTGCGAGTAACTTATTATAAAGAAGCAAGGGGAATTGGAACTCGTCTCTCTGATGACCAATTCATAGCTATTATTAATTACACCACCCGCACATCCAAGCCTACTGCACCTAGTAAGAATTTTGAAATGCTCCATTGCAAGAAACGATAGGAAAAATCATTAATATAGTTTCTTATGACCCACATAAAATATTTTTTATTACGACAACATTAAATTTAATGTTCCGATGAGAAAATCATTCAATGTCGGTAGAATGTTATATTTACTTCAAAACATGTTACACTATAAAATTATGAATATTTCCGCTAATTTGCTAGGGTAAAAACAATTTACAGTATGAAAGAAGAAACAGGAAGACTGAATGTATTTAATCGAAGAAAATGAATTGCGCAGTATCATGGAGAAAAGGTTAATAGAGAATATGTTGAAATCGATTTCCATGCGACCCTACATCCTCTTGGTTTGAAGATATCTACGAGCGCTCTATCTCCGATATTCAACCCTCTTGCAATATAAATGTAGCAAATATTTTATAATATACGTAGGTATTTGTGTTTGCGCGTATCCATATGTAGGAAAACCAGATACATTTTTTATATAATTGTAGGGAAATCAATGACTAATTGAAATTTATTTTTGAGCGTTTTGATCACTCACATTAAATTTACATCCTGGGTTTAAAAAGAAATAAAAGCATAAACAAAAACAAAAAAAAAATATACTAAATGATATCGGCTAGATTATATATTCAAGTACGTATTTAAAAAAACAATAATTAAATTTAGATCTGAAATATCCGTGTCCTTTCGCTCAGGAATTCCTAAATAAAAAAATAAAAAACTTCACTCAGAAAACATTTCCACTGCGTCATATATATCCATAGATATTGTCAGATATTTTCATATATTTCATCATATATTTTCATATATATTGTCTATATTTTCAAATATTTCATCATATATTTTCATATATTTCCTCATATATTTTCAAATATATCATCATATATTTTCATATATTTCATCATATATTTTCATATATTTCATCATATATTTTCATATATATTATCATATATTTTCAAATATTTCATCATATATTTTCATATATATTGTCAAATATTTCGTCATATATTTACATATATATATTGTCATCTATTTTTATACATTTTGTCATATATTTTCATATATATCTTCATATATTTTCATACATATCGTCATAGATATTTCAGCGTTTTCTAAATTCTTCCATTTGTTAAGGACATTTTGTTTTGTTATTAATAGTTACTTTGTTTTAATAAATCCAATTCGTTTTTTTCTTGAAAAAGTCCACATTGGACGAAACGCATTTGCTAATATTACAGTTTTATTATTGCCTTTTACATTTCTAGATATTTTCTTTTTCTACAGGTTAACTCTGAGAAATGGTTCATATATTTTTCATATATATTGTCCTATATTTTCATATATATTTTCATATATATTGTCATATATTTTCACATATATTTTCATATATATTTTCATATATATTTTCATATATATTGTCATATATTTTCATATATATTGTCATATATATTTTCATATATATTGTCATATATTTTCATATATATATTTTCATATATTTTCATATATATTTTCATATATATTGTCATATATTTTCATATATATTTTCATATATATTGTCATATATTTTCATATATATTTTCATATATATTGTCATATATTTTCATATATATTGTCATGTATTTTCATATATATTTTCATATATATTGTCATATATTTTCATATATATTTTCATATATATTGTCATATATTTTCATATATATTGTGATATATATTTTCATATATATTTTCATATATATTGTCATATATTTTCATATATATTTTCATATATTTTCATAAATATTTTCATATATATTGCTGCTACTGTTTCTCTTGGTATAGCTTTCTTTTAATATTTCATGATTTTCTTTTGTGTTCTTCAAGATAGCAGATATCTGAGTCTGAATTTCTGGGATGAGGAGTTCGCATACGAACTACTGTCGTCATCTTTTTTAATATTTCGTCAAAATGTAAAACAATTTTCCTTTCAAACCTGTTCAAGTACTTTCATTCATCAATGGTCATTTTCATAAAGAGAATTTATTTTCATTATTTTTAAATTCGAGAAAAAAATTTATTTTTCCATCATGATATTTGAAATGTCATGAATTTCAATGATTGCTTGCATTATTTACATTACTCAGACTGTTATCCTCATCTTCATTGCCATATTCACAACGTTTCGAACGTTGTACGTTCCGGCCTTTTTCAGGTGATTGTTATTTCGAACCGAACCCATTCTTTCGTTCACTGGAGTAGAGTGTGCTAGTTTCACGTTCAGACACGTTCTAGTTCAACCATTTTTACCAGTGCTCATGGTTGCTGAGACATTAGGTTTATAAGTCCCAAAAATTCACCCACAGATGTCCTCAAGGACATACGGCCCAGTGGATAAAGACGTTGATTACATCCAGTGACTAGGCGCATAGAGTTGTGAGTTCAACACCATTGTTGAACGAAAACTTGGAGAGTTGAGTAAAAGGGAAATAACTGAGATGTCCGGAAGAGGCATAGCACGTGGAACAAGATCAATCATACCTGGTGGACGAAATAAATGGTTCGTTTCGAAATCCCAGTCACCTGAAGAAGACCGGAGCGTACAACAGCCGAAAGATGAGGATAACAGCCCGAATAATGTAAATAATGTAAGTCATCTGAGAGTTATAGAGAGAATTTCAGTTGTGTTTTTAACTAAGCTGGTGATGCTTACAGACAGCTCCGAAAGCTTCTTGCGATATTATGTCGATTTGGCTTGAATTTTTTATTAATTTACTGAATAAAAAGAAGAAAACCAGTTAGTTGTTGATTTGTTTTGTGTTTATGATTATCATTAGAGTTTCATGTAATTTTTGTGTCTAAATTTCTGGGATAAGCCATCATTATTTATATTATTTACACGCGACCTTTTCCCCATTTCTGTCTATATTTCTGAAATGAGGTTTTATGTACACTATTTACATTATTCGGACTATAGACCTCATCTTTGTTGCTATATTTATCACAAGGGTACACAGTTGATAATGGAGTCGGTTACATCTAATGAGTTGTGAGTTCAATACCTGTGTAAGGCAGTGGGGAACTTGGAGAATGGGCCCTGTGACTGTTGAACAAACACAAATGTGGCTGAGCAGGCGTCTGCTACAGGGATAAGCTAGCCTCTATCAACTGTGTTTGAATTTCTGGCTATTATAAACCTAATGTCTTCAGCAACCATTTTTTACCAGTGCTCATTAGGTTTATAATGCCCAGAAATTCATACGCAGGTGTTCTCAAGGACACATGGCACAGTGGATAAAGTCGTTGGTTAGATCTAGTGACAGGACCCAAAGAGTATGAGTTCAATACCCGGTTAAGGCAGTGGAGAACTTGGAGAAAAGAATTAACATTATTTTTTTGTGATAAATACGGCAGCAAAGATGAGGATAATAGTCTGTATAATGTAAATAGCGTTATCCTCATCCTTGTGCCGTATATTTCAGGATGTTGGCGATCATGGATCTCCACAATTTCCTGTCCTTTTAGCTTTTACAAAATGTTCTTTATGTTGTGTCTTAATCCCTGTTCGGTAATCCATTTACTAAAGCTTTCTCGGTAGGTTATGCATTGTTTTCATTTGCCGTCCCCCACTCCCTGCCTTCAATCTGTCCAGTGAGTATCAAGCCCTCTTTCCTCGTTATATCCCATGGAAATATCAATTGTCTCTTTCTGATGTTAAATATAAGTGTCCTTTTTACCTACACTATTTATATTAATCGGGCTGTTATTCTCATCTTCATTGCCATATTCACAACTTTTCGACCGCTGTACGTTCTGGGCTTCTTCAGATGATTAGAAATTTCGCATCGAACCCTTTAGTTCGTCCGCCGGGGTACATTGTTCTAGTTCTTCGTGCCATGCCTCTTCCGGATGTCTTAGTTATTTCCCTTTAATTCAACCCTCCAAGTTTGGTTCACCTCTGATGTGGCCTGCTAGTGAACTTACAAATTTTGCGGTCTAGACACTTGATCTAACCAACGCCTTTATCCACTGGGCCATGTCTCTTTTACTTTCATTTTCTTTTAAATTACGTCGTTGCTCACATTTTCAATGCCTAGTATCCTCAGTATCCTCCCGTATAATCATATTTCTCTTCCTTCACTGCTATATAGAAGGACTGATATTGCATAACAGTTCAATACTCTTTTCATTGTTTCTAACGAAATTTCTCTATTTCGTAATACTTTGCTAAATTTTGGAAGGCATAATTCGCTATCCCAATGCGTCTTCGGATTACGTTATCTCACTTTCCGTTTTCTGTTGAAACACTTCCAGCATATTTAGATTGCGTAATTCCTGTCTGTGGACGTGGCAACATTTTATCTCTTGGCGTCCTAAGACTACTCTAGGAATCAGGCTGTAATAAGAATTCTTTCAATAAAATGCACAACACTATTGATAATTCTAACAGGCTTAATGAATATAAAGAACAACTGGTTGAATATAATGCTTGTATCATCTATTTTAATTTTCTACCGGAGGATGGTGATTTAGGAAATCTAGATGTGGCTCTACAGAAGGATACTGAGGATATCATGGACCATGCGTGCGAGCAACGATGAGGTTTTGGAGAGTACGCAAACAAGAAGAAGGCTTATAACTAACACCAGGAAGAGGAAGCTGAAGTTTCTGGGGTACAAAATGAGAAAGGAGGTTTCCTGGAGAATCTGATATTCAGAGGTCGAATAGAGGGAAAGAGAGACAAGAGAAAGCAATGCTTGACATACCTGACGGTTTTAAGCGATTAGATGACAGAACGTGGTGTGGGGGAGCTATCGAAAGCAACAGCCTAAGCTTCACCATTCTTATCTAAATCTTAATATACTCTTTCAGCAACAAACCTTAATACATCAGCAGTTGACCTAAAGAAGATCCTACGAGGTGAGATGTTTAACCAATTCAGAGTTTGTTAGATCCTCTAATACTTTGCCAAAAAAATGTAGAAGGCTAATAAGAAAAATAAGACGGTTGGACTGAATTGTTAAGGACGGGAATTACAGAAGAGAATTTTCAACAAACAGGAAGGCAATAAGCAGCAATGCATTTATAGTAGAGTTTAGAGAGAACAGGAGCCAGTTCAGTAACTCTTTTTTAAAAGTTACTTTTAGCATACCTTGGAGTTCACATTTGTTATGGTGATCAAGGTTAGAGATGATAGTAGAAATTATGGACGGAATTACATGCATATCGCTCAAAAGAGATTCAATTCTCATTGGGAAGTCAAGCAAAGATAATCCATATGAGTCAAGAGTAGAATATGAAATAATTTCAGATCAAAAAAATTTGCTGTATTTATCATAGAAAGTGCTA